AATATATCACAACTATGATAATATGTATAATTAACTATGTTTTAGTTGAATTTATGAACTGTTACAATTGACCCCGTAAGTGGGGACAATTGTAACAAGTGCACAACTGTCAAAAATTGTTAATAACTAATATAATTACATTTAAAATAAAGTATTTTTTTTTCTAGTAGAGGATAGTCCACTTTACTCGACTGTCAATTAATACTAATAATATATTGGATTTTTTGTTAGTTAAAAATATTTAAGTAAAAAGTTTTACAATTGACCCCACTCTCCCCTATATATTTTATTGCAGTTTAAACAATTATGAATGAAAGCATGAGTGACATATTTAACTAACGTTACTGGGTGGTAAAAGCTCTTGCTGTGCCATTGAGGTGAGAGTATATAAAAATATTGAAACTATGATTTTTTGAAAACTATAGCGTTGCTCGCTATAGAAATTTAGTGAACTCACTTGTGCCGCGAGTGCTGTAGTATAAACACTTCCAAAACTTCCATCTTCGGCAACATATTCTAAAAGTCTAGAGATTGCGTCATTCAATCTACTTCGAAGTGATCTGCTGTAGTTTGAATCTTCAATAGAACTCTGATGAACGTAGCAAGAAAATGCCAGGATGGCTGCAATCAGCGTATCTGCGTAGAAATATCATGAATTCAAAAGGATATTTTAATTCAATTCAATTGTGCAGTATTATATTTTCATAACGAATACTGACTTTAAGCTGATTTTTCTGAAAATTCATACTAACTCAGTTTCCATTTTTATAGTTATTATGTTTACAAGTTCTTTCAATTTATTTGCACGCATTTGTGTTCTAAATATGTTTAGCGAATGGAATTCTGATTCAAACTAAAAGAATTTTAGATTATGGCTACATGAAGAAGTTTTTAAAAAACGAAAAATAAAACGATGTACGAGTACAAAAAAAAAAGGAACCACTTAATAACTTCCGAAGTAATGATCGGATTTTCAAGTGCTAGGACTCAATCATGGGTGTGAAGTTAGATACGAAAATGCATTTTATATTTTAGTTCAGCAAAAACGTACTTTTCTGGAAAAAAACCCCCTTTTTTTTTGGTGTAGATGGATTCATGATTCTTGACCCTCAAAATATGAGGGGTAGCTGCAATTTTAATTATATCTCAATAGTGGAGAATGATCGATAGTTTGAACGCTTTAATTTCACTGTTTGTTTTTTCGCCATATCTCTTAAACTAATAAAACGAATCAAAACTAAATTTTGTACACAAATACAAAACTTGCTTGTCAAAAAATACAAGAATTGTTTATTATCATTATTTATAATTTTTTTTATTATTTACTATAGTAATAATAAAAAAAGTTTGAATTGTTGAACAAATTTTTACTTAGTGTTAAATGACTTAATTCAAAGGAAATGACACGATTAGTTCTTGAAAAATCCAAATGTAAAATTATGATTTCTTAGAGATGTTAAAATAAGCAAAAAAGTGATATTTGCATCAAGTGGGCTCGATCTTTTGAAAGATCTCCTAGCTAAACTTCTCGAACTCGTATTTATCAAATTGTGGCTAGAGGTTACATACTAATAATTAGAATTCTTCGAAGTAAAGTACATTTTTGTGACTAATTTGGACTCTACAAATATTTTCGCATATTTAAGATTAACAATTTGAGCCAATTAGATTGTGTCCTGGTATGTGAAAATCATATCATTATATTAAAATTTATTGAATTCGGTTTCATGCGTTACTCTGGGATTGAAATTATCCGGTCTGATCAATTGAAAATTTTCAGATAAAAAGGTTATGAGGTTTTTTCAGCATAGGAGTAAAATTAAAACTGAACATAGTATCGAACAATAAAATTTCAGCTGTGAATAACAAAAATCTCTTTTTTGTGATGCAATCAACGTCAAATTTTACAAGTTCAAATTTCTAGCATGTTAAAAAAAGAGATTTTTAACGCACCTGGGCATAAATTGAACACTGATTCACGGCATTTTAATAAAAAATTGCGATAATGTTCATGAGAAAATGGCAGTTTTCTTTCTTTTTTGGCCGGGTTGCAATGCTTTAAAAACAAATAAATGTGTATTGAGGGTGATTCATTATATTATAACAAGCCTGTAGGAGATATCATAAGACGGAAATGTTATTAATAAGAGCTCATTTGAGAAAGCACATCGATTGTATTCTTGTCTTTCAAATAATTATTTTCGAAAATTGTATTCGGCTCAGAAATAACAATTTTATATAATTAAATTTAATAGTTTGGCTACTAACCTGTCAAGCTCGGCAAGTTGTTAACCAGTTTACTCAAATATAATGTTGTTATCGTCGGCCATTAAGGCAGGAGGGGTGCCATCTATGACCAAGAATTTGACTTCTGCCACACCCATACGTCGCTCCCGTTTTATAGACCGGACCCATTCACTCATCTATTCATTCCTCCACAGATCGTAATTTTGACCTGAACCAGAGAACGATCCATCTCCAATTAAGTACCCGAAGAGGTATAATTTGTTATAAGAACATGAAGGACTTTGATCCGACAGATTTAGCTTGCACCAGTCACCATTTACTACACTTGTAATCTTCGGCTTGCTGGATTTGAACTCTTAGTCCCACGAACTTGAGTCCAGCTCCCTGCCAACCATGCTATCCCGGCCCCACGAAAATATGTCAGAGAAGCTAGCTATTTCTGGTCTATCTTAAATTCAATTTGGATCATAATTCGTAGAAAGTGTAAAATTACGGATAATACTGTCACAAATGCGCACAAACAGTAAGTTCATAATGTGGAGGTGCCCGTAGCGGCGTACTTCCATTTCAGACATGAGTTATCATGCAGTTCTCAATATTTAAGATAAGCCTTACATCCCTTCTAAGTGTGCAACACTGAATATGGATTACATAAATGGAAAAAAAGCTATATTAAAAATAAAAAAAAACATTTGTACGCTTGTACATTTTGACAATAGCTTTTGTTTCTAACACCAGTCTAAATAATAAAGTGTAAATTATTTGTATAAATTTATGTATACGTATTCACAAGAAAGTAGAAGTTTAGTGTAGTATTTTTTTATTTTTTATATATAAATGAACGACGCTTATATTTTAATGACAGCAATCTATGTTGCAATTATTATTTATTTTAAGCCCAATGCGGAATTCGTATCAACCAGCCATCCCCTGGATTCGAACCCGGCTTATGCTTATATTTAAAGGCGGACATGCGCAGTTGTTTCAAATCTTAAGAACGGGAGTGAGCGGAAGCTAACGTAAAAGTGCGAAACCTCCCTAATCTTTCCAGCAACTATGATCAAGATTTGCCGCACCATTTGATCCACTATGTACCAAATTATTATTGCAGCAAACATGAATGATAATATGATTCAAAACACTCCAAAAGTCTTAACAATATTTCAAAATATTTAAAAAATTTAATTTTTTTAAAAAAAAAAGATTTTTAAACTGGTTTTAAAACCTGAACCTGAGATAAATTTCTGATTGAGCCTCGTACATTACCTTTGCTTCTTTCGTTCGGAATCACAGTTATGGACATTTGATTCATCAAATGATGGATTTCAGTTGAAGTCAGACTCTTATTGGATAAGCACAGGGACAAGAACACAAAAGAATTCTGGTAGGACCTGCGTTTATTCTCTTGGGTCTTATCTATTTTGTACCTTAACTTCTCTGCCAAATCTATTCCGTGGAAATCAGTCGGATCCTCGCAAACAGCCAACAGGGCATTGATCGCCATAAACAGCCTATTTATATTAAAATCTTCAGTGTTGTTTCTGAAAATAAAAGCGTAAAATAAATCCAGTTGTAGGATACTGACGTTAGTTTAGACTTTATCAGTAGCACACGTGTAGTAAAATAAATACTGAATTCTGATTTATATTTGATTGTTTTATGTACTAATGTTATGTTTTATATTCTAATAAATTATATTCAACAATGGATTATTTATTTTTAAAACGTCGCCATATCTGTTGTTAGTGTTAATTTACGTCGCACTAGAGCTGCACAATGGGCAATTGGCGACGGTCTGGGAAACATCCCGGAGGATGATCCGAAGACATGCCATCACAATTTTGATCCTCTGCTTCGGTAGCCCGACGACCTGTGCGCGAAGTCGAGCACTTTACGGTAGCACAGTTTAACGAGGACCAATACCACACACCCTCGGTATCTACTCAGACTGATCCGTCGCCATTGGTTACCCATAGGTCAAATGCTTTTTCTTTCTGGATTGACTCCGTTAAACATTTCAAATCATGGGTTGCTGTCTCCATTTGATGTTTGTCGTCGGATTGATTATCATATCCTGCCTTATGTACGCTTTTCCTTCTTCAACATTCATATCTATATATATATTTCTCTTACACGGCCCCCAAAAAAAGCCTCATTACAACTCCCCGAATGGCAACGTTAGAAAATCGACCAATGATTGCTGCTAAAAATGTCACATGGCAAATGTCACATGAGGTGGCTCAACGTATAGCGCTTTTAAAAACGGAAACAATAACCAGAGTGAGCATTATCAGGTTGTTCAATTCAGATTCATGCCCTAAAAACATGATAATATTTAATTTAAACTCAATTAGGAATTAATTAATTAATTGAAGTGAGAATGCTTTAAAAGGCCGCTGTTGAATTGATATTTTTCTACTGGGAGCTACCTAAACGTCTAAAAAACGTTTAAGTGTTTGTATTGAATGCATTGAATTTTTTTATATTTCGCGTTTATTTATGCATTGAATTTTCACGCTTTAAAATGCAGAATATTAGTGAAGCAATATTTGATAATTTATTTTGCTAATATGTTTCTTATTTAGCTAATGTTTTGATTTTTTCACCATGTACAATCTAAATAGCTAATATACTTTTTTAAAAGCCAATAAGAACATTGGTAGAATTCTTCTACATAAGTACAATACTATGTCTTTGATGATAAAATACTATGTCTTTGATGATAATATACTATGTCTTTGTGCTAGAACATTGTGTTCATTGGCGAGCGAGCACAGCGAGCCATGGTTCACGGCGTGAACCACATAGGATTGCGTAGCAATTCTCGGGGGTTGGCGTGCGCTAGCGAGCAGGGGGCGGAGCCTCCTAGTTTATATTTAAATCACCGACAAGCCAGTCATTATAAATTTATAATAAAGAGAATATAAAAATAATTTAAATTATTATCATTACCTTAAAAATGCCTGCTGGTGAAAATAACGAGAAAAACACCAGCGGTCGCCAAGGCAACGCATGCGCACTGTTTACTATTACTCTTGAACACAGTTGAAAAGTGCGTGGACGCCATTAAATCCAAACCAAGAGTTTGCCAATGGGTAATGAAAAAAACTTTATAATATAGCTGTTGAAGAGCTCTTTTTTTTTTTATCGCCGATTCGTATAAAAATGTAGATTACTTCAAATTTTTCGATTTCTCCACTTTTTTTCTCCCCGCGCCTCAGCGTTCGAGACAAGCAAGAGATTTTATAAGGTTGTTTTTGGACTATTTGTCACCAAGTCATTTAGAAGATTTTTGCATCCGAAGAATACTCAAATATCGTCACTTAGCCGGTTCTTCCACTGAGTATCTTTAGAAATAATGAATAGATTTTGCAATCTAAATGAATATTATATATTTCAGTAAAGCGAAAATAAGAACTTTTCCTGATAAATCTTAATTTTTTTTAAATATGTCACTTAACCGGTTCTTCCACTAAGCTCTTAAAATGTCTAGTTGATGATATCGTAAAATCACAATAAATTAATATTATTATTAAATTCGAATTCTCATGAACTAAATTATTTAATTACAATTCCAGCAGTTTGCCAATCGACGCATTAAAAGTATATTTTTTTTTCGTGTAATTTGTTGAATATTTTTTGAATGTTTGATAAAACACTAAGGTTCACCTTCAAGTTTTATTAAACAATCAAACTGCTTTTTTTCAATGGCCAAATGCCCTGGCCAAATTATTCGACACATAAAATTCTATGTAAAATCTTTATTACCAGGTGATACTATACAGCTTTATTGTTTTTGCTTGCATTTGTTTATGCTCTTGTATCAATTGGTTAACATTGTAATGCAATACGTTAAAAATAAATACAAACAGGAAGTATATAAAAAATCTCCCGAATACAAACCCATTACATGTATCTTTAAATATAAAAGCCTTGCATAGAAACTCGTGCAAAACAAGTCATTATTAAAAAACTACAGTGCGTCTAATAAATGGATCCAACTATTATAATATACTAATATAATACCTGATATAATAAATATTCTATATTTATGTAATATATCATCAAATATATCCAATCTTTGAATTTGTATTATTATATATCGTCTAATTTAATCAATTGATACACGAACGTAAAAGTAATAAAGCTGTATAGTATCATCTGATAATTAGGATTTTACATAAAATCTTAAAGTGCGTCTATTAATTTGGCCAGGCGCTGTATATTAAAATGGGTCATCACGGTTGGTAAATATATATATACTTACTTAAGTAAATCAGCTCCAATTTGAACCATAAATCTTCTTTTAATCATTTCTCCGTCATTATCACCATTAAAAAAACTGTCGTTGGAGGATAAAGCCAAAGCGACCACAGCCCTCGGAGTGTCTTTACCCCAATCTCCAGAATCAGAACGTTGCCCCAGAACCCACTCTGTCCCATTGCGTATAGACTGTACCTTATCTTTGCCATACAGAGAACCGTAATCTTTGGCGAAGTAAAAAGGTCTCCTGACCTTCTGTTCAGGGACATACGGCTTGAAGTGGTATCCAGAATTCCGTTGTCCATTCACTGACCTGTGCCCGTTATGGCTGTTATTAGGAATTGGACGATGAGGATGATGAGAATCGGAAGCAGACTGATAAGAATTGGAAGATCGCTGATAAGAATTGGAAGATTGTTGATAAGAATTGGAAGATTGTTGATAAGAATTGGGAGAGTGCTGATTGGAAATAGAAGATGGTTGATAAGACTCGGAAGAAGGCGGATAAGAATTTAAATGAGGCTGATAACGGATGTCCAGAGAATGATAACGGTTGGAAGGGTTCTGACTATGACTCATGTGTGGCTGATGATGTTCGGCAGGATGCTGATGATGATTTGCAGGAGCCCGATTATGATGTACAGGAGGCTGGTAATGATTATATCGCGGATTAACATTTTGATGTTGTTGTCGCCTTGTTGGATAAGTAATTTGAGATGGTGGGACATTAATAGGGGGACGCCAACTACGAGTTTTCGTTGCTGAAATAGGTGTAGTGAAGATTCTAGAATGCGTTTGCGAAATTGAATGATCCACTCTATACGCTCTAGTCGGAACTGTTCTTGGAAAAATTCGAGAAGGATGGTCTGATTCAGAATCTGTTTCTCTCAATCTTTTGTCGTAATAGCTAGTACTTGATTTTAAATGACCGTCCACAAGACTTGAATAAGTATCACGTGTAGTTGAAGACTCCTGCTCATCTTCTTCGGAAAGCTTCGTAACTGCTGTAGTTGAGAACGAAGTCTTGTGCGATGGTATACGGCTAGCTATAGTCATCTCTTCACTTGTATCGTCATAATTTATGTCAGAGTCTGCTCTGGTAGTTTCAGTTGGCGGTGGTTCAGGGTTATGCAATACGGAGATTTCACCTATGGGGTAAAGATAAAACTGAATTTTACAAGCGCAACTAATTGAAATTCAGATTTATAAAAATAAAATTAGGCTTAATGCAAATTACCCTAGTAAATATTACAGGTTAAAATTGGTAACTTTTCGAAATGGTATGAACACAAATTCACTCCAACTGTTGTAAGCGTAAAGCTAATTTTTTTTTATCTAACTGATTAAACTAGAATGGCAGTGACGCTACCTTCCAACTACTACGGGATATCAGGAAATACTTCTCCTAGTGGTAATGCATTAATATTTAAACAAAATTAAATTAAAACAATCTGGTCCACCACTACATGTATAAAACAGTTATATAAATCATAATATAGACAAATATTTGAGCTCTCTGAAGTACTGATAAAATTTAATAAAAATTTTATTCGCTGTAAAATTCTTTGCTTCAGTTCAATATGAAACACAAGTATTGTTAACTCTATTTATGTGCCTAGTTTAAGAAAATAGAATATTTCTAAAAGAGGCACTTCTTTCTTTTGCTCTAGTTTGTACAAATTACGTATAAATGCAAATAATGCCTTTCAAGAACTTTTATCGTGGAGTTTCAAAGTTTGCTACACAACATTTTCTACGTCAAATGTATGAGAAAAATTCTTACATTCCATAGCCGTGAAACACAGTATTATGTCATAACTGTTTTTTCCAAGAAAGTATTTTTAATTAATTCATCCAAAAGTAAAGATTAATAGGAAATATAGGGCCATGTTGCAATACAGAATATGGCTTCAAATTTCCTCATTTTAACGCTAATAAGCACACTATTATATCTATACATACATTGTAACCTATAGGGTGACATTGTGTACCCCTAATTAACTATAATTATTTCCTCTGGTTGGAAACATAAGTACCCAGGATTATAATACGTGTTCGAATTTGAATTTTATGGGTCAATATTAAAGTTAGATATAAGGTCATATTTTTTTACATACTATTAATTGCGAATTTCGTCACTGAACCCACTATGTTTACATCAGTACTCGAACACACGCTCCTTTAATCAATGCTTGAAACCACTAGCATTTATTCATTTCTTATAATCCACTCTCTCTTGTTTATAACTTGAACTCAATATCTTTACATCGATACTCTAACAAACTCTCCTTGAATCGGAACTTGAAACAACTATCACTTGATCAATATTTGTGATGTACAGTCCGGGCCTGGATCTAGGAGTTTCCTTGTATTCAGAATTGGGTTCAAAATTACAAGTTTACGGAGTTGAACATGGGTTCGCAAACACTTAAAATTAGGTCGGCTGTTCAACAACTGTTGTAAAATAAAATGTATGTATTAATAGTGCTGTGTTGGCTCAGGGGATGGACCATTCGCATTTCCAGTGACGGCTGGATGATGCAAATTTTGCATCCGGCTCGCACGGACCACAGTTAATGCCAGTGGAAGACGTTTTCGCAACGAGGGGAAGAATTTTTAAAAATGTCTTATAAATAGTTTTTTCAAATTCTGACACATATTCTTTCACTCTACATCAATATCTCTAAGCCGAAAAACTATTTGAAAAAATCTTTAAAGTGTCTTTCAAATGAACCCTTTAAAAGTAACTATTAATAATAATAACTAAATGAAAAAAAGCAGTGCCTAAAGCGGAAATAGGCTGAAGGATCCCTTAAGTGTTGGGTAAACAGAATTTTTAACCTGCCTCATATTTCAATTGTATATATGCGAATTTAGCAACATCTGTGCTAAGGATGTAGAGGAAAAAGGACAATTTTTTTTCTAAATGTTTAATTTATACTACTTAGCATATCTGTATATTATTGATAAGTTTTATGCATTTCCTTTACATTAATATCAAAATTATCTTTGAAATCAAAATGATCCCCTCAAATGCAGTTATTAATAATAATCTCTCTCTCTCTCTATATATAAATGAATGTGCGTCTGTCTGTCCTTTATAAACTCCTAAACCAAATGACAGAAAGACATGAAACTGGGCACACACATAGATCGAAGCACGAGGAAGGTCACTGTCGATATTAGAACATTCTACGACAAGCCGTTCCAGCGGCATGAGCGAAAATCGAAATGGAATTTTCTGATTGGTTGAAAGTTAGCCATTATTTTAAATTTTGCTATAAACGATTCAGTTTTCAAATATTTTGAAGATAACAACAGTGATATTTTCTATCCTATAGCTCTATTCATTTAGAATTTTGTTCCCATTGATGATTGGAAGAATATTGATCCCAACTTCTAGACAAGATGCGATCAACTTTTAACAACTCATTATATGCAATTATATATTATTGATAAATTTTTAACAATTCATCATTTGTAAAAGAATATTCAAATCTTTCAGGGGCACCATATAAGGTGGGTCAAGGTTGCTCCCCCAGCAAGGATAGATAGTACTGATAGAACATCCATACCTTGCCTGGGATTCGAAGTCAGAACCTTTCTGATTCAAGGCCCTGGCCCCTACATAGGCCAGTCGGCCTGAAATTGGGTATAAAGTCATCAATTTGTTTAGCATTAGGAGATAACAACCTTAAAAATTTGGAGAAACTGTTGTTTCGTTATGTTTTTTTAATCAAAATGCCTAGTAATATAAATGTAATCTAAGAAAAGTACTTGTTGTTGTTTCTTATCCTCTAATTGTCTGACGAAGTCAGACAAGATCCAGTAGGTTGTTGACCCTCAAAAAGTTGATGACAAGAAGTGGAGAAGCATATAAGTCCTCCTTGGAAAGGCTCAAGCAGTCGAGGATATGTTCGACTGAGGCCTGCTGGGCTTCACATTTGGAGCAGACTGCATAAGTCTTTCTTCCTTTAAAGTACGAGAGACTATTCGTGTGTCCACTTGCCAATCTGGAAATAGCTGTTTGAACTTTGTTGCTTTGTAATAGCTTTGTTGTTCAAAGTACTTGCAAGGATTTTATAGTAAAATGTTTAAAAATAAAAATTCCCAATCTTTGCTCATGAAAACTAATAACGTTGTTTTTGGTATATATTACTGTTTGATCTTTGAAAGTTGATTTTAACTATTGTGTGTCTATACTCTCAAAATGACAAACAGTATATTTCAAGCAAATGAGCTTATAATGAGCAAATCGTTGGAAATCATTGGTTAGTTAAATACTTACAGTTCTTTTCATCAGTATTATCTTTACAATCATTGTATGTATCACACCTAGCAGCAATCGGTATACAGATGCCAGAACCGCATAAAATATGAGTTTCATTTTTCTCTTCACAGCCATTTGGATCATCACCATCTGAAATAGTTTATTTAGATTTCAGAGTTAGAGGAAATGAAACAAAAAATTAATAAAGGATTTTATTTTTAAAATATACCCATTTTAAATAGCAAAATGAATGATATATGGATATTTAAAACCTAGTTGGGTGAAACTACTCAAGAAATAGTTTTATTATTGATTTAAAAAAAAGAATTAATTTTTTTAAGAACACAATGTCAAATTGTCTCGAGTTAATTTTAACCTAAAGATCTAAAACTTAAATTATATTTTAATATGACGGTATTTCTTTTTTTAAAATCTAAATTGCGGAAAACTCTAGCATAAATTGCTAAAAAAATTAAGGGAGCGAGCAAAAAGTTACGAAACCTCTGCTTGATAATCATGCATGGGCATAAAATGGAGAATACAGGGTCAACCAAACGCAATATATGAAAAAAAGAAACAAAACACAATTGCGTGGGAACTTTAATTATTTGTAATAGTTTAAAGAACATGAAATTATATTTCCTGTTCTAAAACAAAAGCAGAACGGTTAAATTTTACCAATGGGATAACAAAAGACAGCAGCTTCTGAAAAATCAAAATTACTGCTCTTAAATCATTTTTCCGGTTTTTGTCGTCATGACGTCATTCGCACATATTATTATGACGCACATATTATTATTATTCGCACATATTATTATTATGACGTCATTCGCACACAAAATTTTCTTCTGCTATTTTCAGCTGCACAGGCTATGAATATTTTATTTTGACTTAATTACCAGAACAAATATTTGCGTAATGTTCAAAGTCTGGGTATGGATTTTTTTAGAGTTTGAATTGTTGCTGGAATCTAAAATGAGCTTTGAGTCTCAAGTGGGTTCGAGAGTCTGGTTCATTTAATTTTTGAATTTGAAAATTGTTGTGAGTTTCTGGGAATGAGATTTTAATTAAATTCTTTCGAATTTCAAGTTAAAAGGACTTAGCTAATTTTTGAAATCTGACATGAGTTGCGAGTCTTAAGTTGGTTCGAGAATGAAGTTCGCTCACTTTTTAGACTTAGCTAAATTTCTAGATTGGTTTGAATTTCTGAGAATGTAATAAAGTTTCGAGTTTAATTGGATTCTAGTAAGTCGGCACTAGACTAGGACTTTGTAGTAAATTTAGACTTTAAAGATAAACTTAGATTCTAGAGTTTGAAAAAAAATACTAACACCAAAAATGTTTTTTACTGCAGTAAAGTTCATCGCTTCCATCTTCACAGTCGGAGTTTTTGTCACACCATTTAGTTCGTTTCACGCATTGGTCACCACTGTCACATAAAAAGTGCTCTTTGCTGCAGTCTGTAACAGAAATATAAATATTAACTCAAAGAGTTACTTTTTATGTATTTTTAGATAACGATGTCAAAACTATGTATGATGTCAAAACTATGTACGGTGAGCAAAATGATAAGAAAAAAAAATATATATACACTGCTCAATACNTAAGCCGAGTGCAGCGCCACTAATTTGCATATTGCAATTTTACTCAGCTACTCTTAGTGGACAACATATGCAAATTTTGCACGGTTTGGCTTACTTTTGAAAGAGTTATCGCTATTTTTGTGATTTTTCCTTAATTTATGATAACCAGTGTATATATGTTCAAAATTAGCTGTCTGAAATTGGGGTTAAAGTCAACCATTTGTTTAGCATTAGGAGATGGCAACGTTAAAATTTTTGAGGTACAATGAGTTATATCGTTTTTTTTTAATTAGTCAAAATGCTTAGTGATATAATCAAAGAAAAGTACTTGTAAAGATTTTAAAGTAAAATGTTCAAAAGTATAAATTCATACTCTTTGCTGGTGAAGAATAAAAATGTTGTTTCCGGTATATATTGCTATTTGATCTTTTGAAAGCTGATTTCAATTATTGTGTGTCAACACTATTTTACTCTCAAAACAGTTCGTGATAATGATGCAGAACGAAGAAAGCAGAGGCTAGTTAAATACTTACAGTTTTCTTCATCAGTATTATCTTCACAATCATTGTATGTATCACACTTAGCAGCAATAGGTATACAGATGCCAGAACCGCATAAAATATGAGTTTCTTTTTTTGCTTCACACTTATTTGGATCATCACCCTCTGAAATAGTTTATTCAGTATTGTCATTTCAGAGTTTGAGAAAATGACACAAAATATTTGTAAAAAACTTTATTTTTAAAATATACCCTTTTTAAATAACAAAATGAATGATATATGGATATTTAAGACCTAGTTTGGGTGAAACTACTCAAGAAATAGTTTTATTACTGATTTTTTAAAAAAATTATTTTTTTAAGAACACAATGTAAAATTGTCAGGAGTTAATTTTAACCTAACGATCTAAAACTTAATTCATTAGTTAATATAATCAAAGGGAACAATTTTAGGGGGAATTTTGAACGAATTCCCTTAAATTTGTTCCTTTTGATCAGCAATTTTTTCGTATCGAACAAATTTCAGGATTTCTTATTTTATCCAAAATAAGAGAAGCACTAATATTTGCTTAAAAAAAGCATAGCAAGCAGAAACGTTATGAAACCTTTGCGTGATAACCATGCATGGACATAAAATGGAAGAATACAGGTTTAATAGAACGCAATTCATGAAAAAAAAAAGAAGCAAGAAACAATTGCATGGGAATTATTTGGAATGGTTTAAAGAACATGAAATGATGTTTCAAGGCAACAATTTGATGACATGTAAAGGACAAAAAACTGATTTGTACGTAAATGATTCAGGATGTTTATTATGGTGAGTGCTTCCCTCCAACTGTTAAGACTGTCACACACCTAATTTACATGAATATGATAAGATTATCGATGAGACTATACTGTTCCACTCTTAAGGGGCCTCCATACCGACTGCAACAGCGATGTGAAACACGATTTCTCTTCTTTGCTGCAGTGTGTCTGTTGTAAGAGATTGCAAGTACCTTCACACCGCATGTGACAACAAACCTCTTTCCTGGCTAGCGTATGCACACTTTTCTTCTGTATCTAATTTTTGTTTCATAGCTCATTTTATCGTTATTTTTTGTATTTATATTATTATTTTCTACGTATATATTATATTTTATATTTATATTATTTTTTACATTTATATTACTTTAAGATTTCAGTACACGATTCTTCATAAATTGATTGGCGAAATAAGCTTCGTTTCACATTTTTACAAACATTGTATCAATAAATTATACATAATTATTTTTTTCTATTTTTTAATTTTTGCCTTATAATTTTGTCCAATAATAATTTAATACTTAACTAATCTTTTTATGGAAAGAAAATGCATTTTTTTCTGCATAATTTTTTTCTTACGTATTTTTATTTCGTTAAATGAAATAAACTAATGGAATATTAAGAATAAAATTAAAATAAATTAACGTAATATTAAATAATTTACATAAAAAAACTTAGGAAAAATGAAAAATAGAAATTATTTTTTTATCAAAAGTCTTGTTAGGAAAAATATTCGTTTAAAAACATTGTTGTGAACAATATTTTGAATATTACAAATATATCAAGTTTGCAACTTAACACTTTATATAGAAATGATAGAAAGGATTTTATTTACATATACAAATGCCTCAATAGGGGAGAGTGGGGTCAATTGAAACAGGGTACGATTGTAACAGAGCAAAAATTTCGAGTGTCGGGTTCAAGATTTGGTTCCTAGGTGGCGCTCAAGGTGTATTTATTAAATCTACATGTACACCCCTGATGGCAACCATTTTTATGTTCTTTTGAACGAGTTACATCACAAAAGATATTTTCACGCTACGCAAGTACTTTTTTTGGTATTAGAATATTATATTGTAACAAAGTAATTTTGTTTAAACAAATAAAAATTAGTAACCGAATATGTAAGTGGACACCTCAATTAACATTTCAATAAAAAAATATTAGTTTTGCTAATTAACTAGCATTATTTTAAACAAATGAAGCTGAAATGGCGTCCAGGGGACGATTGTAACAATAAGTAAAGGGACGATTGTAACAGCTGAAAATGAATAATAATTGAATAAATAATAATTGAAATAATTGACCCCGTAAGTGGAGACAATTGTAACAAGTGCACGACGGTCACAAGTTGTTAATAACTAATATAATAACATTTGAAATCAGGTATTTATTATTTTTTCTAGTAAAGGATAGTCTACTTTACTCGTCTGTCAATTAATACTAATAATATATTGGATTTTTTGTTAGTTAAAAATAGTTATGTAAAAAATGTTACAATTGACCCCACTCTCCCCTATAGTTTTCTCTTACATTCGCAAGTTGATAGGAATTTATGAGATAAATATTTCACTCTACGGAATTTCCGAGTGGAGCCACTTACATAACATTTTAAAATGGATACCTTTTATTATGTAGTGATCCTTTACAATATGACTATGATATACTACTTTATGAGAAGTACAGGAACGTGAGGGTATTTTTCTTCCTTCATTTATGATTTACTTTTTTACTTAGATTACGTTTTCTAAAAATTGTAAAAAAAATAAAAAAAGGATTAAATCTTTCATCACGTTTCAAATATGCTGGGCCTCTTTTTCTTGCTGAATGGTACCGTCGCATAAAGCCGGGGAAATGTCAGTCTGACATAACCACTGGTAGCTATATTTTATAGCACTCCAAATAAAAATTCTTGGAATTGCGGTACCTCAACTATCAACGATAGACACATAAAGCCTATAGCATAACATAGAAATATAACAAAAATTTTATTAGTAATTTATGTTCTTGAACCTGATTCATTCACTTAATTGGCGAAAAATTCCAAATATGTTCCCAATCTTCCTTGATTCATTAAACTTCTGAAAGTTTCTCAGAGCAATGAAATCAAATAATTGTTTTTGTTTCTATGAAAATATTTAAGTACAAAAAAGGTGTTTTTTTCATCATTTCTATATCTACCCAATTTTATCCGATCATGATGAACAATACCGAGTTTTTGCACACTTCCATAGAATAACCAATTTACACTAAAAAAAATGCAGCTTTTTTTTGTTCTTTAAAAATGTTTTATTTTTTAAGCTAAAGATCGATGTAATTTCATGCAAATAAAAATTAAAGCAATTCTGATTATGAAGTTGATTATGAGAAGAAAATTTAAGGACCCGGTATTGTGCACTGTTATCGTATTTATAAAATGTTCTATAATCGAAATTTCGTACGAAATTTTCCAAAACTTTTCATTCAAAATTTTTGTTTTTGTAATATTGAAATCTTACATGAGTCTCAAGTTGGTTCGAGAATCAAGTTCGCTCATTTTTCAGATTTAGCTAAATTTCAAGATTAGTTTGAATTTCTGAGAAAGTAACGAAGTTTCTAGTTTAATTGCATTCTAGTAGGTTGGTGCTAGACTTGGACTTTGTAGTAAACTTGGACTTAAAAAAAATTATTCATATTCTAGTTTGAAAAAAATAATACTTACTCCAAAAACCTGCTTTTTTGCAATAAAATTCATCGCTTCCATCTTCACAGTCGGATTTTTTGTTACACCATTTACTTCGATTCACGCATTGGTCACCACTGTCACATAAAAAGTGCTCTTTGCTGCAGTCTGTAACAGAAATATAAATTTTAACGCAAATAGTTACTTTTTATGTATTTTCAGATCACGATGTCAAAACTATGTACGGAGAGCAAAATAATAAAAAAATATGTATATATACACTGTTCAAAACCGTTAAAGGATATTGAGGTTGTGGGTTGATCTCGCACCACCTGAAGAATTGTTTGAGTGATTGATACATTAGCGACAGACATAGTAGCCTATATGTGATAAAAATGACATTTGTTTGGCAGGAAAAAAAATTGTCTGTTATTGAGCATTTGGGAACAAAAGGAAAAAAACACAATTTGTGCATATGAGAAAAACAAAGAAAAAAAGGTGATTCCTTCAAAGAAAATCGTTTTTAGTAAGGGCATGGTTTCCCCGGACGGTCAGCTACGTTGGAAACCTACAGAGCATCGAGTCAATGAGGTTATTAATGAGGGTTTGGGATATTCTGTCCCACTCCTCCAGAAGAGCTCTTTCCAATTCTTGGAGGGTTTGTGGGAGTAGTAAGCATCCAGCAATGTCTGCCTAGAATGCCCCAAACATCCTTGAATGGGTTCATGTCCCGACAACATGTTGACCAATCCATTCGTATGATTCCTCTCTCCAAAATAAAATCATACACCAAGTTAGCACGACGCGGCCTGCAATTGTCGTCCATTAACATGAAGTCATCTCTAATTGCTGCAGCGTAAGGGACTACAATAGGTCTCAGGATCTCATCCTTATATCGGCGACTGACCAGAGCTCCATTTCGAATGATATTGAGATAGGTGCGCATATTAAAACAGATGCCAGCATAGACCATCACTCCCACCCCACCAAGTCTTACACTTTCGTGTCCTAATGCAGTGCCACGTTCCCTCCAGAGGAAAATACGCCTATTATTAAAGATGAACAAAGAAACGGGACTCGTTAGAAAAAAGAATGTTGCGCCATTCATTTCTTATCCATTTCACATGTTCTGTTCTTCTCCATTCTCTGCGAGCTCAACGATGTCTTTCTGTTAACGTAACAAACGCCATTGGTCGGCTATCATACAGATCTACAGCGCGAAGGTGGTTTTGGACAGTTTGTGTCGGAACTGTGGTGCCAGTAGCCGAGCGAAAGTGTTGTTGAAGAAGAGTGGCATTCATATTTCGTTGTCTCCGAGATGTTAGCGTTAAATAAGAGTCTTCATTGGGTGTTGTTGCACGTCTACGCCCTTGACCTGATCCTCAGTCTGCATTTCCAGTCTCCAAAAAAAACGGTTCCAGCTCCTGGAAATCTGACTTTGTGACACTCCAATGGCTTCAGATACTTCGGCTTGTGTTGGGCCAACAACTCCCCAAGCTTCTGATTCGGTTAAATGACTTCTTTGAGACGCAGCACTCATTGAAACAACTCGCTTACTGAATGTCGATCATTCTTTTCCAAACACTACAAAAAGTATGTAGTTGCCGAACACATACTGCTGTCGAATATGTAGCCAAACATATTTTAAATTCTTAAAATATCTTAATGTCTGATATATCGTCCTGAAGGTCTTTATTTTAAAATTAAAAGTTTAATTACCTTGGCCATGAGTGTCTCGTAGAACTATTCCACCAATTATTTTGAGTAGAGAGCTGTTATCGACAATGTCAACTTTCTTCTATGAAAAGGTACCCCAACATAGAATCGAGTTAAGATGTGTTATACCTATAGTGAATTGGAATTATGTTTTTGTAGCGGTAGATACAACATTATGTTTTTATATTCTTCTCTATGCTACCACTTGGATTTTATTTTCACAGGCAAGGTAAAAGTGTATAAATTTGCGCAACCTGCGATTTCTCTCTCTGTTTCACAGCAGAACTCGCTCTTTTCCCATTCGTGGTTTAATTTTGGTTTGTTTGTGATGTTTGATTGTGTATTCAGATTTGAGATAACAGGTGGCGCAAGTTATCCACATTTTTGCGAAATATGCAATCATCATTAACATTTTAGGCGATTTTTTGCAACATTATAGGGGTAGTTTACAAAATGTGCCTACAAAATGTTTCTTTCTTTTAAAAAGAGGCAAAAAAATTTTTTTTAAAAAAGAAACGTAAGTTGTAAATTACGAGATAAGACCTTGCCTCCAGCATTGTTTCGAAGTTCATCATATTAAACTTCATTTCTAATAAATGTTTTGTAAATATTTCGCATATTTTCATTAGTGCTTGCATATATTTTTGTGTTTCATGAAATAAATCATAATTTAACCAATATTAATTTTTAAATGTTTGCTTTTATATGATTATTCTTTAATTTCCATTCTCCAGTAGTATTTTTTCTATGATCTAAACTCTTTTACAAAGGAATTTCGATTATTTTAAACTTAAAATATTTGTAGATCAGATTTGTAGATGGATTTAATGACACAATTATTTAGTCAAACGAATCAATTAGTATGTATAAATTTAAATTGGAAATTCGGACAAAATAACTAGATATAATGAAATAAAATTAAACGTTTCAAATAGACTGAAAAAATGAGGAAAGAATTTGATTTTTGACAAATCAGAAACAAATTACTTTCGAAAGACGTAGAGGGTATTTCCGGTAGTGATATAATTCGATAACAAAAATGATGTTTTCAGCGTTTTTCTTATGACAAAGATCAAATTTTTTTCTCAATTTTTTTTATCCACTTGAAAAATACAGTTTATATTTCATTTTATTATTTACATCGTTTTAGTTTTGTGCCTGTTATGGCTATATCACACGAGAGAAAATATGTGCAACTGCAAGTGTAAGTGCAACTGTAAGTGAAATTTCTCCAAAAATTGCTCGTGTGATATAGAAATCACGGTTGCACGAAATATCTGCAACCGTTCAGGCAATTTCTTTCATGAACCAATCAGATCGTTTGCTTTTATGACGTTTCAATTTTATGTGATGACGTATACAAATGTAAATAAAAATGGCGGCGACGTTGGTGAAGAGGATGATCGGATGAAATTTTTTTATAGACGAAACGGAACAGTTTTTTAGTTTAATAATAACATTTTCTNGGTCCTCGTTAAACTGTGCTACCGTAAAGTGCTCGACTTCGCGCGCAGGTCGTCGGGCTACCGAAGCGGGGGTGCCATCCCTTCCGCAGAGGATCAAAATTGTGATGGCATGTCTTTGGATCATCCTCCGGGATGTTTCCCAGACCGTCGCCAATAGCCCATTGTGCAACTCTAGTGCGACGCAAAGTAACAACAACAACAACCATTCGTGGTTTAATTTTGGTTTGTTTGTGATGTTTGATTGTGTATTCAGATTTGAGATAACAGGTGGCGCAAGTTATCCACATTTTTGCGAAATATGCAATCATCATTAACATTTTAGGCGATTTTTTTTGCAACTTTATAGGGGTTGTTTACAAAATGTGCCTACAACATGTTTCTTTCTTTTAAAAAGAGGCAAAAAAAATTTTTTTTTAAAGAAACGTAAGTTGTAAATTACGAGATAAGACCTTGCCTCCAACATTGTTTCGAAGTTCATCATATTAAACTTCATTTCTAATAGTCCCGCAGTGGACTGATCGTTAAGACACGGTTCCCAGCAGGTCACCGAAGTCAAGCATCACTGGCTGCGGTCAGTGTGCGGGTGGGTGACCACTTGGATCAGTCTGCGTAGGGACCGAGGGTGTGCGGTATTGGTCCTCGTTAAACTGTGCTACCGTAAAGTGCTCGACTTCGCGCGCAAGTCGTCGGGCTACCGAAGCGGGGGCGCCATCCCCTCTGCAGAGGATCAAAATTGTGATGGCATGTCTTCGGATCATCCTCAGGGATGTTTCCCAGACCGTCGCCAATAGCCCATTGTGCAGCTCAAGTGCGACGTAAATGAACAACAACAACAACAACATCATTTCTAATAAATGTTTTGTAAATATTTCGCATATTTTCATCAGTGCTTGCATATATTTTTGGGTTTCATGAAATAAATCATAATTTAACCAATATTATTTTTCAAAAGTTTGCTTTTACATGATTATTCTTTAATTTCCATTCTCCAGTAGTATTTTTTCCATGATCTAAATTCTTTTACAAAGAAATTTCGATTATTTTAAACTTAAAATATTTGTATATCTGATATGTAGATGGATTTAATGAAACAATTGATTAGTCAAAAGAATCAATCAGTATGTATAAATCTAAATTGGAAATTCGGATAAAATAACTAGATATAATGAAATAAAATCAAACGTTTCAAATAGACTGAAAAAATGAGAAAAAAATTTGATTTTTGACAAATCAGAAATGAATTACTTTCGAAAGACGTGGAGGATATTTTCGGTAGTGATATAATTCCATAAAAAAATGATGTTCTTAGCATTTTTCTTATGACAAAGATCAAATTTTTTTCTCAATTTTTTTTATCCACTTGAAAAATATAGTTTATAATTCATTTTATTATTTTCATCGTTTTAGTTTTGTGCCTGTTAGATAAAGTCGGAACTTATAAAAATTTCCTTTGGCTATAAATTTAGCTTGAACTATTTATATTATTATTCTTTATTTTTTTCAGACGCAGAGCTTTTGTTGAAATTTTAGCATACTAGCTAGTATGGAAGCGTTCGAAATTTAAATGGATGATAATTTTTACTTGACAATCTGTTGTTGTTGTACGTCATTAAGGCAAAGAGGGTGCTTTTCTCTTCTTGTTTGCTAGTGGAGCCATCTATGCCGAAGAACTTGACTTCTGCACACATATACGTCACAGCCTGTTCATAGGGCAGACCCATTCATACATTCATTCATAGACAGATCGTAATTTTGACCTGAACCAGAGAACGATCAATCTTTAATTCAGTAACCCAGAGGTATAATTTGTTATGGGAACAAGGAGGACTTTGTGACCCAACATATTTAACGTGCATCATAACACGGGGAGTCTTCGACCTGCAAGGCATCGAACTCACGACCTCTTGGACATGGGCCCCAACAACCTAATTAACGATCTGAATCAGTGGTTACCAACTGGCGGCCCGCGAAGCCCTTTTTTGAGAC